TTATTTTTTTTTGTTTTAAGGCCGTTCGTGTAAAAATTCAGTCTTACACTTTTTGTAAAGCTTACAATAAATGATAATTCAAGTCTCCTTCATTATTTATTTAATGGATTATGTGGAAATAAATTGATTTTAAGTTGAGCATTGCTCCTCGTGAACGTCCTTAATGATATCAGCGTGAATTTTCTGAGCGAAGATTTTTAAACGTAATTATTTTTGGAATTCGTACGGGGTGATCGTTGTACCATCGCAGCTATGAAGACATCTTGAATCCTTCAGCAACAAATTCGTTACGTCGTTTTTATAAAAATTTAAGCAGAGCGATTCAGTGCCATTGCAAACCCTCGCCCATGGCGGGATGTAATAATAAATGTTCACGCAGCCACATGTCTCCATCGAGTACTCTATAAATCGCTGCCGAGATTACATTTTAATTTATTATGCTTATCGCAGAATTATAAATTAACGTTTATACAGTCTATAGTTGCTATAGTCTCACGAAACGAGAAGATGAATTGTCATATTCGATGGTGAGTTCATGTATCTCGAATATAATGAAACAGGAAAATTAGCATACATCCAGGTAACACGTAGACTTGCTATAAACGTCGTATATACTGTTCTCCGGCGGTTCATTATAGAACCGACAGTTTCTGTGCTCGATCGCGATGTGTCTCACTCGATCTTCATTGTACGTCTGTTCTATCGCAAACTCTACTGTAGTTTTTTTGCCTGGTTTTACCTTTACGTCAAAGGTCTCCGCATCGCCAATTACTGGCACATACTGGTTGCTGGTAACGTGCACCTAAAATTGAGTAACATTTACATTGGTTTCAAACGTCAATAATTTCATTCTATGAAAGTCCTTTGCACTATTGATGCTGATCGATACTTGATTTTAAATCAATGAATAGACGAATACAAACTGAAAATCCTTTAAGAAGGAATTTCTTCATTGTTGCATTTGCGTTGATATCAATAACAAGGTTGCCGTTTTTCACAGTCCGATTAAGGAAATAATGAATTCCATTTTTCTTTAAATGAGGCGTGTTTATTCCGAGACAATATCCTACGCCGGTTTTTCGTATCTCCTGAAATTCCTCACAGCAATTAAACTTCATCTTCGCCCATGAGCATTCCAGTAACAACTCTGCACAGGGTACCCGAATCTACGATGCGAAACGAGATCAAGTATTTCTAATTTAGCAGTTTTGCTCGCATTACAGGTTTTCATCATGAATCGAATTTCTTTAAACGCGTAGAAACACGCATTTCTCATTTACGATGATCATTACCGTTTCATAAGCAGACAGAAGATCCTCCGCGGTTGCCATGAGAAATTTGTCCTTGAAACCATTTCCAAACAACGACGGATTTCTTAAAAAATGAATTTACGTTACCTAATCTGCGCAGCTCCTATCTTTTGGTCCTTATTTAAATATAAAAAATTTAAAAACCTAACGAACCCTTTATAGTACGTCTGAACCGTAGGGGAATTGGAAATACAAAGATAGACCGCGGGAAAAGGCGTTTGCCACTCCAGGTAGTTTGTATCGATAGTTATAGCAACAGGATTTACAATATACTGATGCACGCTGGAATAAATCGTAGCTATGCACCCAATCCAAGATAACGTGCAGAAA